AGTATCAGTTCCATTTGAAGAGAGCGAAATGGAATTGTGTTGTTCAGATTTTTTCAGTTCGGCAGTGTCTTGGGCGATGGACATAGAGGCGGCTATAAAACTGTAATTATTCATCAAATAACACACTTAGCGGGACCTTTAGTGACGTTTTTGGTTCGTCTTGACCATTGTCAAGCTGGTTATCGCTTGACAAAGGTCCGAATGGACGAAACGTCGTCGGTTACGTTTATTCTAAAGTGTGATTTTTTTTTTAATGTTTAATCCACGTTACTGTAACTTTTATTTTAAAATACAATTTATAATAAGCCTTTATTCTACATGAAAAATAAAGAATTCCTCTTTCTTACCTATCTTTATTGCAGTCTACAAGGTTCCTCCTTCAAGTTACGATGTCTGTATTCACACTGTATTATGCGCGTCAAGTGTCCAAATGTCATGCATGTGAAAGAAAAGGTCACTTTGCTCCCCTTTTTAAAGAAGCTCACTTTTTTTTAAAACGTAAACATACCGGGTATATTACACGGGAATTATACTTTAACCCCCTTTTCAGGTTTTACAACATCGTGCCGGTGGTGTACGGTTGTATGCAATTTCTGATGCCCCTTGTATATTTGAAGGCGCAAAAAGTAAAAAACCCCAGCAACAAACCATCAGAATTTAAATTTTACGTGCCCCTTACTTTTGCCTCTTTCAGGACCTTCTTTTTTCCCACCTGATCAGCTGGCTGTGGAGGGCATCCCAGCTTCTCCCAGAGTTGGCCGTGGGGCAGGTTTAGAAAAGGGCCTAGGAGTGTGGAACCGGGTAAGGGAGTTTTTTTTCTTCGCCCATACGGTTTGTGACATTTTTTTGGGTAGAAAAGTCTTTATTCTCTCTCACACCAAAACACTTTTTTACAGGTATCGCCGTACGTGGAGGAATCGGGGTAGCATCACCCTTTGATCGTTTAACGTGGCTCGACTACAACACAAACTTGCTGGGGGCCTCTACTATTTTGCTGGGGTAAGTTACACTCTCTCTCCTCTCTCTCTCTCTCCTTTTGCTTTCCCCTCTCTCTCTCTCTCCCTCTCCCCCCTCTCTACTCTCCCCTCTCTCTCTCCCCTCTTCTCTCTCCCCTCTCTCTCTCTCTACCCCACTCTTTCTTTATTAGTTTTATTTTGTTGTTGTTTTTTATTGTACGAGTATACTAAAAAGTCGTGGTACTTGTAAGAAACAGAAGTATTTTGATGTAGTAATAGTAATAGTAGTAATGATCATAGTAGCAAGTTTTTAGAGCAGATTGTAGTGCGTAGTTGTAGTAGCGTAGTTGTAGTAGCAGTAGTTGTAGTAGCAGTGTTGTGTAACAGTAGTTGTAGTAGCAGCACGTTGAGCAGGATCTTCTGTAATTACTTATAAAAATTAAAAATACAATCGTTTACTTTCGACCTTGAGGCTTCCGAGCCCCCTACCATGGTTGAGTGTCCTAAGGATAATATGATAACGGTTCCCAAAGATAATACGGGAGTGACGGTGAGTGTTTTAAGATTTCTCTCTCTCTCTCTCCCTCCTTTTCCTTTTCTCCCCTCTCTCTCTCTCTCTCTGTATATATATATATATTTATATATATTATATATATATATATTTTTTTATATATATATATATATATTTTCGCTTATCCTCCTCCGCTTTAAAAAAACCCTGAGAGTCATGATGTTTTTTCCTCTGTCTCCTTACCCAGCAGAGGAAAAACAGCACTCTAATTTAACTTGGAATGACCAGGACAATAGGTTGTCTTCCCCGAGGAAAAGACTCCCAGAACACAGCTTGAATTTCTAGAGGAGGGGAGAGAGGGGGGGGGAGGATTTGTGATGCATGGCGAAGGGCTCTTGATTCGAGGAACTGAAGCTTCTATTTTCTGGTATCAGTCCTGATATCCTTCCATTCCCAAGACTCTGTATGACTCTTGCGGGGTTAGCGCTCTCCGATGAGTGTAACATTTATACGATGTTTCACCACCTTGAAAGCTCGTCTTTACATCTCAACTTAGCTAATCTCTGTAACTCATTGTTCCCTCTCAACGTATATAGAAAAGCAAATCTTTTTAGTAACTTTGTCGCGCCAGTGTACCCCACGAGTCCTTGAAGGGGAAAGTGCCATGTTGTTGGTGAGGGGCTCTTGATCTAAGGAAATAGAGTTAACCTCTTTTTCCTAAGATCAAACCTGATGGCTTCTCATCTCCCAAGGTTTGTATAGCCCGTGAGGGTTTAGCGCTTCTACATTATTATAACAATAATTGTGCAAACTACGAAATTAAAACATTTTTCTCACTCGGTATTTGCCATAAAATCTACGTAATTTCTTTGAGCCACTGCAGAAGCACTACCACTTACCTTCGAATCACTTTTAGTGGTAACTGAAAATAGCGCGCAGACCAATAGTAGCGCCTTCGGTTCACAACCGAAGTACCAAAGCTCAACTCTGGGTGAGTGGAAAAGTATGGGCAAGCCTCCTCACTCGTAGCACTAAATACCTATATCTTGAGTCAACTGCTGTGGGTGGTAGTCTGGCAGAGAAAGAGGCAGTATACCTTGGATAACGCTGTGATTTTCAGTGTGCTGAGGTGGGATACTATCTCTCGGTCTGTTAATTCAACGATGTAAAAACTAATCTCTTCTAGAACTGTTATTGTATTATTTCTACACTGAAGATAATTTTTGTAGGTGGGATTAATTGTCATTGACGTTTAAAAAGGTCATTAGGCAAAAGTCTCATTGGGTTATACTAATAAACTCTATTATCTGTGACGTCCTTTCTCTCTCTGTTCTGACGTCGTTTCTTTCCCTCTTCTGGTGTTATCTTTCTAAGCTCTGACGTCTTTTCTCCCTGGTCTGACGTCAACTTTCTCCTGCTCTGACGTCGTCTCTCCCTGCTTTGACGTCATCTCTCCCTGCACTAGCGTCATTTTTTTTCGGCGCTAAAGTTATCTTTCCTTGCGCTGACAATCTATCACCTTGCACTGCTCCAGTGGCACATCTTTTCCCTTCCCAGACATCATCTATCCCTGCACTAAGGTCATATCCCTCTTTCCTGACGTCCTCTCTTCCTGCTCTGACGTCATCTTTCCGTGCTCTGACGTTCTCTCTCTCTTTCTCTCTCTCTCTCTCTCTCCCTACACTGACGTTCTCTCTCCTTGTACTGGCAGAAAAGCAGCCCCACTGAATACTTCTGGTACAGAGAGACTTTAGAGATCTCTCCGGACATCAACCATCCAGACAAGTTCAACTGGAAGATCGCAGTGTGTCTGCTGGTGGCCTGGTTCCTGACCTACCTCTGTATGGCCAAGGGCATCGCCACCTCCGGCAAGGTAAACAGAAAAAAAACAGAGACAAATACAGTATATTGAGATTTTTTCACCTGTATTTACTTCTCTATTTTTTCCCCATCGTTCTGGCACTTGAAATCATTTCTTCCCTTGAAAGGTAAATAAATGTGATTTTGATGGGAGAGAATGATGGGTTAACTTTAATACTCGGTACATAATTTACAATTAAACATTGTAAATCATTTTCTCGCCAAGGTAAAGGGTAAACATCCAGGGAAGAGGCAAATTAAAGTGGTTTTGGTAGGAGAAAATATTGGGCAAACCTCGGTACTCGGAGCTTCATGGATACTAAAATAATTCTCAAATTTACAATTAAGCACAAAACATTTTTAAAATGACAAAATTGTCTTATCAAGATAGTCAATAGGTAAGAACGCGGTATTTACTAGTTTCCCTCATTTCCAGTATATAGAACTAATTATATATAACATTATATGTATTGCATATTTCGATGTTTCAGGGTAATTTCAGGCATTTTCTGACTTACTTCAATTTTTAGCTAATATATGTAGATTATTACACTTTTAATCGAAACTGATGATAAATTAGTTTCGATTAAGTGTAATAATATATGAATAATAAAGGAATGTCAGTTAGAAATTTAATAATAAACTGAGCTTAGTAGTCATAAACGATCCTTGTAAAACATTGTCATCTGGATTATTTAGTTGAACAAAAATAATGACTTTGTGTATCTTAAATAAATCGTGGAGAAATATATTCTTAATGCATAATATTATTGCATAAATACTGCAGCATTTTTTCCCCTATCGCTTTTCTTTCTTTCTTTCACTTATCCCCTAAGTCTTGTATTTCTCCCTTTTATCAATCTTCGTCTAACTTTTGCATTTCTCCTCAGACTTTCATGGATTCCTCCTGCCTATCGTATTTTTCCCTTAAATTGTGCATTTCTTCTCTATCTCTTGCCTGTCTCCCCTAACTCTTGTAATTCTTCCCCATCGCTTGAATTTCTCCCAAAACCTTTTCATTTTTCTCTCAACCTTTGCATTTCTTCCCTAGCTCTTGCATTTCTTCCCTAGCTCTTGCATTTCTTCCCTAGCTCTTGCATTTCTTCCCTAGCTCTTGCATTTCTTCCCTAGCTCTTGCATTTCTTACGTAACTTCAGTATTCCTCCCCCAGACTCCTTAATTTCTCCTCGAACACCACAGTATATTCCCCTAACTTCAACATTTCTTCCCCTATTATTCTATATTTTTCCCTTATTTCCTCCATCTCTCTTACTAAAATTTAGTCTTTTGCCTCCATAATCTTACATTTATCACGTTAACCGGGGATTTATCCCTTTATAACCATAATATTTTCCCCTGACAGGTTGTGTACGTGACGGCACCTTTCCCCTACCTGGTGCTGGTGATCTTCTTCGTGCGGGGAATTACCCTGCCAGGGATGGAAGATGGACTGAAACATCTCTTCACTCCTGACGTAAGAGGGTCAGCTGTTTCGTACCAGGAGCTGGAGTTTTCCTCCCTTAAGATACATGCGCATCCAATGGGTATCTTTATCTTCACAACTTTTCTCCTGCTCAGCAGACTTCTGCAGTGGATACAGGGGTATAATACACAAGTTATCTCTGTTATCGATTCAAGAGTGCTGCTTAGCAGGTCACAAGACCCGACAATAA